CACAGTGCCTACCACGCTGACATTTGAAGTAAATACTACAAAAGCAGTAATACAAGAAAATGTGGGCAGGTTTTGTCTAAAGTAGAAGAGTTACAATAAAGTATTCTAAGACTTAGTTGAGATCAGTACTTTCACTGGACAATGGTCAAAGCCTCAGATCTGTGGCCCTTACAAAGCTGTCCGTCTTCATGGAAATTTATACATCTCTCAGTTAAATCGGACATCTAATCACAAACCCTCTCACATTTATGAATAAAGAGGGAATTCAAAATCCAACCAAAATTTACTTGAAGTGTACTTTCAACCATGTCATATCCAATACAGACATAATTCACTTTATGCTTTGACATGCTTAATATAATTTTTAGTATCTTTCGGGTCGCTATGAGTCAGAATCGACTTGACAGCACACAACCACCACAACACATAACAAGAAAGTGTATTAGGATTACCTGAAGTATGCGACTATTGCACTGTGAAAAACTTCTCCTTCCGCATGTGAATATCGAAAAGTTTGGCTCTACCTAGTGTGTGGAAACAATTCTTTATCTACCCCACTACCCTATCCTCTCACCTCAAAATCTTCCAGCAGAGAGAAAATGAACTTGTAAATAAACCTAAAACCAAATCAAATCCACTGCCGTTGAGTCGATTCAGATTCACAGTGGCCCTGTAAGACAGAGTAGAACTGCCATGTAGGGTTTCCAAGGCTGTAAATCTTTACAGAAGCAGACTGCCACATCTTTCTTCCATGGAGCAGCTGGTAGGTTCAAACTGCCGACCTGTAGGTTCGTGGCTGAGTGCTTTAACCACCATACCATCAGGGCTCCTTAAATAAACCTAAAGTATATATAAATCCAGTGAGTTTAGCTTTCCATAGTGAAGGGAAATAGCATTTCAAGTCTATGTTGTCAGGCAGATTTATCTAATTCTTGCTTCTGTTTTGACTATCAATTCTAAGTAAATTTTATTGGCTAACTTTAAAAATGTTTAAAATGTGAGGCTGGAATGGAAATACTGACTTAGCTATAGATTAAAAAGCATAGTTCAGTCTGTTAAATAAATTTAGCCCTTTTTAACTCAAACTACAGAATCCCCTTTTCCATATGTTCAAATCTGGAATTTGAATTTCCACTCATACACACAACCCCTTTTGGGAAGTGTAAGAAAGTATAATTAATCATGTTTTCAAATCAAAATTTTAAGGTATACTCAATCGAAGTTGCCTTCAAGAATATTTCCTCTGTAATATACATTAAAAATCCAAAATACATTTAGAAAATATTTTCTATTCAAGCGTCTGGGGTCTGAAAAGCTTGTGAGTGGCCACCTAAGATACTCCACTGGTCCCACCCTGTCTGGAGCAAGAGAGAATGAAGAAAACCAAAGACACAAGGGCAAGATTAGTCCAAAGGACTAATGGACTACAACTACCACAGCTTCCACCAGACGGAGTCCAGCACAACTAGACGGTGCCCGGCTACCACCACTGACTGCTCTGTCAGGGATCACAACAGAGGGTCCCAGATGGAGCTGGAGAAAAATGGAGAACAAAATTCTAACTCACAAAAAAAGACCAGACTTACTGGTCTCACAGAGACTGGAAAAACCCCAAGCGTATGGCCCCCAGACACCCTTTTAACTCTGTGCTGAAGTCACTCCTGAGGTTCATCCTTCAGTCAAAAGATTTAAAACAAAAAAAAAACAAAAACTAAAAAAACCATTGCCCTGGAGTCAATTCTGACTCATAACGATCCTATAGGACAGAGTAAAACTCCCCCATAAGGTTTCCAAAGAGCAGCTTGTAGATTTGAACTGCTGACCTTCTGGTTAGCAGCCAAACATGTAACCACTGTGCCACCAAGGCTCCAGGAACCCAAGGTTGAGCAGGGGAATATGTTGACATGTCATGGGGTTGGCAACCAATGTCACAAAACAATATGTGTATTAACTGTTTAATGAAAAACTAATTTGCTCTGTAAACCTTCATCTAAAGCATAATTTAAAAAAAATAGGCAAAGTATGTCAACAGACATTTCTTCAGAGCATATAAAAAAAAAAAAAATTCCTACTCAGCATTGAAAACAAATGAGAAGTTTTTGTTCTATTTGAACCAACTTTGCAAGGTTGCACCACTTTATTTTTCAAATAATTGGTGGAAAAATTTCCCCCAAAATATAAATTACACCTTGCAAGATAAGGGTTCTAAGTAATTCTGTAGTCACTGTATTTCATACAACCTGTTCTTTGTAGAAAAAGTGATTTATCCAACAATAAACCAGAGCTACAATTTCTAATACTGCAAGACAGAATGAATGTTGATTCATAGTATACCATGTTTATAATGCAAAAAACAATCCAAATGGTTTCCCCCACGTCACCTTCCCGAAAAGTAAGTATGAAAGTCACAGAATGGAACTTTAAATTGTTTAGGTAGTCAGTAAATTTCAAATGTCTCATTATGTTTCGCAGTTTGAAACAGAAGTTAAAAGTTAAGACCTGTAATGACTTGTGAATTAAATACGAACATGATTTGAGTAACCCTACCGCCATAAATAAGGAGCCCTGGTGGCACAGTGGTTAAGAGCTCAGCTGCTAACCCAAAGGTCAGCTGTTGGAATACATCAGCCACTCCTTGGAAACTCTACGGGGCAGTTCTACTCTGGCCTATAGGGTCGTTATGAGTCATAATCGACTCGGCGGCAACGGGTTTGGTTTTTGGGGTTTTTTTGGTAGCACAGTAGTTAAGAGCTCGGCTGCTAACCCAAAAGGTCTGCAGTTCAAAGCCACCAGCCACTCCATGGAAGAAAAATACGGCAGTCTGCTTCCGTAAAGATTTACAGCCTTGGAAATCCTATAAGGCAGTTCTACCCTGTCCCATAGAACCACTATGAGTTGGAATCAACTCAACAGCAATGGGTTTGGGTTTCTTTGGTATTGCCATAAACAGGAGCCCTGGTGGCAAAAACAGTTAAGTGCTAAGCTGCTAACCAAAACGTAAGGGATTCAAACCAGAGCTTCAAACCCTGCTGAGAATTTGCATTTCTAACAAGTTCCCTGTTGAGAATTTGTATTTCCACTCTAGATGTACTAAATCAGAAACTACATTTTAACGAGATCCCCAGGTGATTCTTACGTATAAGTTCCTGGGAACTTGTTAGAAGCCCTGGTTTAAACCCACCAGCCACTCCGTGGGAGAAAGATGTGGCAGTCTGCCTCCATAAATATTACAGCCTTGGAAACCCTACGTGGCAGTTCTGCTCTGTCCTACAGGGTCGCTGTGAGTCGGAACTGACTCAATGGCACTGGGTTTGGTGTTTTTTTTTGGGGGGGGGTTATTGCCATAAATAGACTTGTAATCAGGGATATTTAACTCAGTAGTTAAGATCAAGGTCTTTGGCGTGGCAAACTGCCAATTAATTGACATGTCCTTGGAAAAGTCACTTAACCTCTCTGAGCTTCAATTTCCTTATCTGTTGTTTTGAAGATAAATGAAAAGCACTTACATGATGCCTGACACAACAGTGATGAAATAGTTGCTGTTATTAGTATTATCATTGAAATTTCTGCAAGTTGCGTTTGTTATTAGATGTGAATCAGAAATGGTTGTATAATTCTAAAATTTTACTAAAACACCTAACAGTCTGACTTAGTTCTTTCTATAAATGACATATTATAGTGGCAGAAGAAGAGAAGAATCTCTGAAGAAGACAGAGCAAAAAGCAAAGAGAAAACAAAAAGATAAGCGCCTAATAACAGCAACCAATATCCTAGAAAACTCCCATGGACACAGGGAAATGCATGGTCAGCTATAGCTTGGATAATGAGTTCAAACATCAATATACAGGTCAGGAAAATAACTCAAAAATTTCCTCAATCTAGAAACAGAACGCTAATTAAGTAAGTTACGTTTTGTATCGAAAGACAGATAGTGGGAAACTTTTACTTATTTGGTTAACAGAGACTAAAACTGGACAACTGTCAAATCTACTTCACTTTCTGGAAAAGTAACACCAAACATATCCAATGTTAACATGATCTGGTACGGAGGTGGAAACTGGCCACACCTGCTTCAGGATTTTTCTTTACTGGATCCTAAGAACCTTCCGGCATACTGACAAAATAAACGGGGAATAGGAAGAGATATCCTCTGAATTCTACCCTCATTAAGCATACTTGAATATATAAAGTATCTGACATAGCTCATTTCTTATAACATTTGAGAGCATATATTTTAAGTACACAATATAATTTCATATCCAGAAATAAGTATAAGGAACTATTTCCAATTTGAATTTACAGATGCAGAATTCCATGACTGTGAATGTAAATATCTTAATATTTATTACTCAATAAGTAATTAACATTTATTCAGCATTTACTATACATCAAGCACTATCCTAAGAGCTAAGAATGCTGTTTTGAACAAGACAGACCTAATCCCAATGCTAGGGAAGTTATACTCTAGTAGGGGAGACGACAAACAAAAAAATAAATAAAAATATATCATGTGGTAATAAATATTAGGATAAAAATAAAACAGGATTATGTGATAAGGAGTGACTCAGAAGCTATTTCAGACTGGGTAGACAAGAAAGGTCTGCTTATTACATTTTATGACAACTACACCCAGAAGTCAGAGATTTGCCTCCAACATTTATAGTAACTTCTTTCTGATGCTTTTACTCTAATTTGGTAGGAGACGAAAATTACTACTACCATTCAAATATTTTACATATAAAAATAAATGTAATCATTTTGCCAGGCTATGACATTATAATTTGACTTATCACTGTATATCTGTATTTAAAATAATGTGTAACATTTTGCTGCCTCTGCATCCTTCCTAATATACACAGTGACCACTGATAGATCGATACGGTTATATTACCTTCTATTTTGCAATAAAATTTGCTAAATTATAAATAGAATAATTTTAAAAAACTTGATTTTATTTAGAAATTCAAATATCCCAGTACAAAGGCTTCAACTTAACTCACCTGTGTCTGTACACAGTGCAGAAGATTTATAACTCTGTAGCCAAATCCAGGAGAAATCTGCAATATGAACAAACAAACAAACGTGAATAAATTTTGCAGAATCTTGGTGGACTCCTTAAAGTAGATGTGATTCTTACCACCAATATATAATAATACTCATTGATTACCGCCAATGTACAAGTAAAGCTGTCAGCTGCTGAGTTGACTGCGACCATGGCAACCCGCACGTGTGCAGAGTAGAACTGCCGCATACAGTCTTCAAGGCTGTGACCTTTCTGAAGCAGATCACCAAGCCTTTGGGCGCCTTCGAACCGCCCAACCTTTCAGCTAGTAGTCCATCCAGGGCTTTACCATTTGCGCTACCACACAATTGATACTCTTTAATAATATCTCTCCATTAAGTTGTATGGTAAATCAAGAGGTAGACTTGCTGCATTACTTCTATCTGTACAAGACAATGTGAAATATATAAGACCACAATCCCTTGTGAATTACAAGGTTTCTACTGTATGAATTCAGAGTTCCCGTCACAACACTATGCTTCCCTATAACTGCAGTTTAATCACTAGTCTTCCCCACTAGACGGGCTGGTGAAAGCAGAGGCCCCAGTTGCACCTTTCCACACTACATTTCTGCGGCTAGCACAGTACCTACAACCACGTACACACAGTAAATGTTTGTTGAATAAACAAATAAATGTAATTCAAAAACTGATCATAACTTACTGATACTCAGAGTCTACCTGTATGGAACTGTACGGAACTGAAATTATGGAAACAAAAATCTGTGTCATAACTGCTTTAAAGAAAGAAGTACAGACATGACTAATTTGTTATTTCAAGAAACGTCTTGACAGGAGTAAAATGACACTATGAAAACCGTAACAATTTGCAAGAGAAAAGGTGGGTAAGAAAAGGAAGAACTGGACACTTTCAGTAACCAGGAAACTGCTCACCAAGTTTCTTCTAGGTCTGTAGATCTGAGAGCAAAGAGCTTAACTAGAGGGACCCAGAGCATTTTATCTGATCACTTTTCAAACTTTTTTGATATGAAGACAAAATATGTGCTTATGATATTTTATATGTATTAATGTTTACCACATGTATGTATTTTATGGACTCAAGAAAAATCTGTTGATTGCTACTAGTAGTGGTGCTGAGACTTGTTTTTTGGACTATTAAATACTACTAGACTTAATCAGCTTCAAGGAATGTTTTTACATCTAAGCCACTGGAGTTTTTTTCCCCCCTCAGGTGGCATCCATCAGTAATAATAAATACTCTAGATTTATTATCAAATTTAAAATAGTAATAAATCTTTTAAAAGCCCTTTACTCTTTAGAATAAATAGAGCCCTGGTAGTGCAGTGGTTAAGAGCTATGGCTGTTCACGAAAAGGCCAGCAGTTCGAATCCACCAGCCACTCCTTGGAAACCCTCTGGGGCAGTTCTACTCTGTCCTATAAGGTTGCTAGGAGCCGGAATCAACTCAATGGCAACAGGTTTGGTTTTCTGTTTTATGAGTAGGAAAACGTTAATGTTAATTAAATTTACAAAGTACCACGTTTCTGGGGTAGTGGAAACATCTACTGCATAATGTAAGAGGTCTAAAGGGGAGAGAAACAGAAAATTTTGCATTCTGATTTTTATCAGGCCTCGATCAGTCTTGAGATAATCATATGTAATGAAATGTAGCTAGGGTATTAGTCAGAAACGATTCATGAAAAGCAACAGGGAATCTGTATGCAAATTAGAAGTTATCACATTAAGTAAAACAAATGAATTCTACTCATGTGGCAGTCAGTAAGCAGCGTGCAATAACTTTTTGTTGTTACTGTTTATTATGTAATAGGAGTCATCAATTCATTCTAGCACTAGTGGGGTAAATTATGCACTATGCTGGCCTACTTAAAACCCATTATAATTCTACACAAACAACTGATTCGCTCAAGGACATCACACTACGCGACAATCACAAGCTAAAAGTTGCACTGTTTGTAGGAAAGACACTAAACGATTACTGCTTGATCTATACTATTCATATATTTATTAGTATGCTAATACAGCATGAGGCAAAAGTGCCAATGCACTCATGCTAAAAAATATGTACAGACGACAGAAAGAACATTATAGAAGCCCACAGTATAATATGGTATCTTGGTGTAACATTTTAAACAAGTAGAATTAATAAAATATTTAGAAACACAGAACAACAAAATGCTTTACAAGTTATAAGGGAAAATAATAAACGTTCTATAATAAATAAGCATCCTACTACTCTTCTATCAGTCTTGATGGTTTTCAAAAAAAGCCCCTCTAGGAACGGGTTTCAAAAGAAAAAGGAAAAAAGAGATAACCCTGGGCTTGGCAGAGAGACAGAAAGAAAGATAGGAAACTTGCTAGTAAAGACAAAGTGAGATACATACGGTTCAGTCCTTTGCTGCTAATTGAAAGGTCGGCGGTTGGAACCCACCAGCTGCTTGGAGGGAGAAAGACGTGGCAGTCTGCTTCCGTAAAGATTAAACGAAAAAGAAAAAAAAAGCCCCAACCCTATTGTCATCTTGTCAATTCTGACTCAGTGCCCTAATAGGACTGAGTAAAACTCCCCCATAGGGCTTCCAAGGAATGGCTCGTGGATTCTAACTGCTGACCTTTTTGGTTAGCAGCTGAGCTCTTACCCACTGCACCACCAGGGCTCCTGCTAAAGATTACAATCTTGGAAACCCTATAGCACAGTTCTACTCTGTCCTATACGGTCGCTATGAGTCTGAGTCGACTGGATGGCAACGGGTTTGGTTTTTTTTCCCTCTTACTGCCACTGCATGGGCTAAAAAGATGTACTTCCTCTCCACAAAGCGTAGCTCACTATTATAAAGCTGTGTGGAATAGGTGGAAGAAGTTAGGATTTAGCTCCATCAGACAGAACAGGTTCACCATAGAAACGCTGCTGCTGTCAATGTCAGTAGTGGTATCAGCAGCGGTAGCTGGTATGTGACCTAGGGAACGTTACTGAGTATCAACTATAAAATGGCGATAATACCCTCCTTGCAGCATCTTGGAAGTATTAAGTGAGATAATTACATAAAGCACCTGGTACATAGTCGGCATTGTAATTATGATCCTGCCAAATACTGCTGTTGAATGCTGCTGGCTATGACAGGAAACTCAATAAAATGCTGAGAAAGAGAAGCTTCAGGCCTACCCTACCCCAGAGTCCGTGCATGCTCTTACCCAGCAAACTGTTATGGAAGGTCACTGTGTTGACAGTGCTCTCATTTTACCACCCTGATGTGAAAAGGAAGACTGCAGCAATGTGTTCAACCTGAAAACGACTTTCTTGAGGTTTTTAGTGTGGTAATAAGGACAGCAAAACACAAAACTAACACTCGTTCCGTCACGCCCTAAATACCCTACACCCCTGGTGGACACTGTTAATGGACCTTGGCATTCTTTTTTGCTGAGCCTCAATGTGGCCTCACAATTTTCTGAAAGTTGTCACCAATCAAAGAAAATCATCACCAACTGATCAGAGGTGGTATGCAAATGAAAATATATTGGTCAACCCAGCCAACTAACTTGATTATTGATGGAAAACTGAAAATATGGCACTTACTTATGGAAAGAGATCACTGACCAAAAGGGGAGCACTACAACTGTCATACTTCCTGTTCCAACACAAGTCCTATACTGGTCTTCTTGTTATTCAGCCAGCACCACCCGGTCAACAAGCCAGTCAGACAGCTTGGCAAAAGTGAAGTGGACACATCGGGAGAGCAAGAAAAGATGAAAGAAGTAGTACTGATAAAATTACTTGAGACTTTTCAACAGTTCCAGTCAAGCACATCTGAACATATACCCGTAAGTGTATACCCATAATGGATGATTAGTATCATAATGTTATTTTCTTTTTGTTCAAACAATAAAACATGAAACACAGCTGTAACTCAGTGTGTTTCAAATCATATCTATACCCTCAAGGGGAATGCTATATTTTCAAGATTTAATTTTGATAACTATTTAAGATTATTCAACAGAATATTCTAATTTGCTATATGTGTGTGTGTGCGTTATACATAAAAGTGCAAAAGTATCCTGAAATATAGCTTTCATATTACTTTTAATAAACTATTGTAATATTAAAATCTCCATGTTGTTGAACTGCAAAAGTTTTAATAGTGTAAAGAATGTGTACTAGATATGCAAGGTAAAATTTTTCCCCAATTATTGAGTTGATAGTGCTAAAAGTGAGCATCTAGGCCACAGAGAAGAATAATTACGAATTAATTAACTTCTATATATACTTCAGACAAGCGTATATTTTCCTTCTTTTTTAAAGGGCTATATCTCCACTGCAGACCATGAGTAATTCAACTAATGAAACTATTCAACAAGCAATTTTCATTTTTCAAATTCTTTTTTAAGAGGGTCAGCAGTATCATGTCAAAAGCCCCTTAAATAACACTTAGCCCTTGTAACTTATGTATAAACATTAATTAGCTAGACTTCTAACTGATTATTTCTAACTATTCATTTTGTCTATTAATACATATTTAAGTCAATTTAGCCAGAAAAATCTTTAGTTTACTAAAACTGGTGATTAAAATTAATTGAAAGTACATCTTAAGAAGTTCTTTTGCTATTTTAACTCAATTTAACAAAATGCTTCAGCTAATATAATTAATCATAAGTTAAACAAGTAGGTTTATAATTTCACTTAATAATTTTTCATGCATGCTAAATGTAAGAACAGTCCTAAGCCACAATTAAAATAGGTTTAGAGAAGGAAACATCAGTTAAAGAATTCCTAAGCTGCAGTTAAGATACGTAATCACAAACACAACTGACATGTGTGATATAGTAAAAAATAATGTACCCATAAAATTCACAGATCTCATTATGACCATTGCTTTCAATTTTCTCTCTTATCTACCATAGTCATAATCAATACAGGGAAGCAAATATAGTAAAGCACTATCTCTCCAAAGACTAGTATTCTTGATCAGAGACTGACCTAGAAGAAAAATTAATCTCGTATTTGTAGTTAAATGTACAAGGCTCGG